CAAAAGATTCTAAGAAGGAACTAAATCTAAATCAACACTTAAGTGTTGCGAAATGCATACTATCTTAGTCAAATCTCATATTAAACGAAATTTTCCAGAGCTACGCTACTACGGTTCTCTTTTGTCCAAATTTTGCCATTACTATTAATAAGTTCTTGAAATAGAATACTTGAAATTTTTTGTGTTACGAGCCGCTTAGATATGCGAACAATTCGGTGATTTTGATAGACAATTTAATAATTTTTTTTTATTTTTCATTTAGAATAATGTCCGGACCTTCAAATCCTACTGCATCTACCGGTGCAAGTACTGGCGGTCATGCAGCAACCGCTGTCTCTGGCGACTCTTCACATCACCATCATCAGCATCCTGATGTGCATCCGTATGGTGTCAATTTTCGAATAATAGGTAAAAAAATATTTTTTGTCGTTTTGTATTTTAATTTTTTCATGTTAATTAGATTGGCGTACGCAGAAAGTCGATGGAATACCCGAATTAGAAAAATTACGTACAATGTTAGCCGCACGCGGTTTAAAAGATCCATGGATTCGTAACTTAGTATGGCGTTATGATAGAAAAGCTGGCTTTTGGCCAATATGGCGTCGAATGAGTAGAACAGTACTGATTGGATTACCCTATGCTGTTGTAGCAACAATCTCAACACTTTTAACGGAAAAAGCAATTGCACAGTACTACCCACCCAAACATTTTCATATACATTTATACAATCCAACCAAACCACATGATGATAACGACCATCACACCGATAATCATTCGTCGGAAAATCATTCTCATCATTAGCTAGATGAAAAACAATTTGAATTTTTTTCTTTTCATTCGTTTGTTTTTTCCTTCTCCTCGAATTTGAATATGATGTATTTTCTAATCACATTAACTATTCTTCGCCGCTCTCTTTTCCAATGATCCGATTTCTTTGGGTTTTGTAAAGCCCTTTTTGCTATTACCGCTCACATATTTGATGTAGATTTGAAGAATATACATGTATAACAGTATTCTGTATACAGAAACGTCATGTTTACAACGACAGAGCTCTAAACGAGATTCGCGTCTACGATTGAACTACAAAACATGATGTAGTTTGTAAAACTTATTACGAATTCATACTCATTTTCCTTCGAAAGTCTCTTAACCACAAAAACCTTAAGAAAGTATTGCTAACAATTTCAACCAAAAAGATGAAAATGTTACTATCAGAACAGAAAAAAACTTTCCGTACATCCTATTAACAGTAGTTTAGCTGCATGTAAGAAGTTATTTTTGTTGTTTTTACAATAAAAGTTGTTAGACTAGGTGAGATCATAGCTCAAGATCATTTTCAAGTAGCGAAAGTCACATTGTCTACGTGGTACTGCTTGTGATCCAATAAAAGTATTTATCACTTATTGAAAAAAAATGCCGGTAGCGGATATAAACTGGCACAGCTGCTGTTTAACAAAGATTTAATGAGTGATACCGCGAAAAACTACTAACGGATATTATTATTACTATTAATCTCTCGCGCAGTAGATATCGGGATCATCCTTATAAAAGATACATTATTTCATTGTCTTTTCACTTATTTCAATTATCGCCGAAAATAGTTCTGTGAAGAATACATTTTAGTCTTACAGATATTACAATAAAATGACAATGATAAATATATCCGTATAGCTTACGCAATGAGACCAAGTCATCAATCGTTAGACTCATAAAGTTCATAAAGATTTTAAAGTCGTAATTCTATCATGTCTTTTACTTTGATTGTAAAAATAACCAGTAGGATTCATTATTCGTTTTTTTTGAAACGATAATGAACAACGATCCATTCTTCACCATTATTATAAGAAAATGATTCAGAACAAGCTAAATAGAATAGACGCCAATTGACTAGCCATTTTGTTTCATTCCCGTTTCCATAAAATTGACTTAAAACATTCATTACATTCACTTCCGATGATTTATCATAGGCAACTCTTGTCAAATTGTCTAGCCATGCCTCTAATGTTTTTGAATAATGTTGTCCATTTAATATCCATGATTGATCAAGTGACAAATGTCCATAATGACAAAAGTTTGATAACAAATCTATAGATGGCATTGTTCCACCTTGAAAAAAGTTCTTTGTCATCCAACTACCATCATTATCAAACGTATATGGATGTCGACTATTGGCAAATATTTGAATAAATAATAGTCCATTTGGTTTTAACCATTTGCCAATTTTTTCAAATAGTTTCTTATAATTTCTCATATGTTCAAACATTTCAATTGAAATAATACGATCAAATTCATTTTCACCAAATTCTAATGTATTGACATCTGATGTTTTCACTGTAACATTTTTCAAATTTGATTCATTTACTTTCTTTTCTATATATTGTCGTTGTGTTGTCGAATTTGATACAGCCACAAAATGACACTTTGGATATTTTTGTGCAGCAAACAATGTCCATGCTCCCCAACCACATCCCAAATCTAAATATCGGCCACCATCCTCTTCAATCTGAAAACATTGTGCACGTTCAATATATAGTTCAAGACTTGCTCGTTCAGCCTGAGCTAACGTATGAATTTCATCCGGCCAATAACAACATGAATATTTCATCAATGGACCCAACGTTACTTGAAATAATTCAGTAGGTACTTCATAACTGAAATTTTAAACAAATAAAACACCTCGAATGAAGATTGAGATTAAAGAGAAACCTACTGTTGTTCATTTGCTCTCACTGTTTCGAATGCAATCGGTGTTGTTTCATCCGACATTTGTTTTACTAACCGTTCAAAATCTTTTAATTTATCATTTTCAGATTTAAATGTTATTTGTTGAATACGTTGACTTAAATAACGTCGTATAAAAAAACGTAAAACAAAATCTGGCAAAATATTTAACGAGAGAACTTTTTCCTCCATCTGCAATTTCGAAAAAAACATAACGTAAAGTTATTTGAGAGCTGCTAAAATAATCCTTAAAATAATGCAATAAAGAGGTTATTTACAAGTAGATTTATTTGATACTCTTCCAGCGGCATACTAGCCATGATTGAAAGTTAGATTCATTTTCAAATATATATATATCAATGCTTCTTTCAAAAGTTTTATCGAATCATGTGTGACCATTATATAATTGATATTTTTACGTACAGACGTTATTAACTTGAATAATCAAGAAAGTATGAGAAAAAGTAACTGTTACATATCAATCATAGACGATTGTTACCGTAGTACAACATAACTAAACTGAATAGGCTATCATTAATTATTCACTCTATAATAAGGAAAAATAAATGTCCATTTATTGAATTAAAAATGATCAAGAACATTGAACAAAATAGCATACAACAAGATACAAGTCGAACAAGAAAAAAAGCACAAACACATAATTTAATTATTTAGATAAGTAAGGGAAAATGCCAAAAATTTTCTTTTTTCTTCTATTGAGATAGTAATAGAAAAAATAAAATCTGACTAGCAAGCAGGACAACAAATATAATCCGTGCGAGGCTAAATGAAAAACCATTCCGATAATGAAAAAAAAAACAAACAAAACCATCCAAGACCAATGGCTCAGTAACAAAGAATATTGAGCAGTTAAACACCGAAACATTGCAATTTTAAAAATCATTTTTTACATAAGAAAATAAGAACTGTAATTGTAGATGATATTTTACTCGTCCATTGTTTCAGTTTGATCATTCATCATTTGGCTATTATTTGTATTTGGATCTAAATAATTCATTATTTGTTGAGCAAATTCTGGATCATCATTAAACATCGTGGAAAAATTTTGTCCAGAAGCTAACATTTGTTGTATACATAATAAACGTTCATTTATCAATTGTTGCTGATACAAATCGGGTATAGATAATGTTGATTGAGTATTATTTTCTCCGTTTGATTGATGTGTATCAACAACCATTAATTCTGTATCGCCTACATCTGGTGTACCTTTTAATTGTTGCATACTCGTCGCATTTTTCATTGTTCTTTGTGTAGATGATGAATGAACATTCATTGTTGAAACTGAGTATTGTTGAGGTAAATGTTGATAGATAAAACCACCACTAGTCGGTGGTTGCGATATATTTGAGATACTTTGGTGGGGATTTTTATGATAAAAATCAGGATCGTCCAAATAAATATTGGAATGTGATAAATTTTGAATACTTGATGTTGTGGATATCAATGAACGAGAAGCATAATGACTAACACCTTCACTTCCAATATACGTGAAACTAAAATATTATGTAAAAAACTATATAGCATAGTTCAATTTCTTCACATATATTTACCGTTCAAATGTATCATCAATGTTACCATTCACTCCTATTGCAGCTAGAGATTCTGTACTTCCTTTAAAAGTAATAAACAAATAATGAGTTGTTTGTAAAATTATAAAATATTCATTTTCTTTTACCTGGTGGCGTAATACAAACGGGCTCGCTCGTAAATTCAGTATCAAAATAACGTGTATCAGTATCGGAATCAAGTTCAGGTTTAAATAATGGTTCAATTTTTTTTTCCTCATATAATTTAAATGATATATTATGGAAAAATGGATGTTTTTCAACTTCGACAACATCACCAGCGGTTGAACCAATCCTATTTTAAATATAACAACAATGACGAAAAATGCTTAATATATGTCTTTAGTGCAACCGATTGTATCTACCTTTCTAATGGTTCTTTTTTCAAAAATTTCTTAATTAAATCCAATGCATTTGGTGAGATTTCATTTACTGGATAATTTGGTTCTTGATTTAAAATTTTCTGAAATAAACCATCTTGACTTTTACTATCGGCAAATGGTAAACGTCCAATTAGGCATTCGTACATCACAATTCCTAGGCCCCACCAATCAACGGCATTTGAATAAGATGTCATACGTAATATCTGTTAAAGAAAAAATTTTCATCAATTAGAAATTACATGTTCACTACTATTACCTCTGGTGCAATATACTGAGGAGTACCACAAAATCTATAAAAGAGAACATTAATCATATAAAGAATAGATACAACGGCAAAATGTTATGCCTACGTTGATGTCTGAAATCCAGATGGCATATTCATTTTGCATAAACCAAAGTCAACCAATTTAATATGACCAAAACGATCGAGTAAGATATTTTCAAGCTAAATGAATATCAAAAAATTTGATTTAAATGTAAAATACAACTATCGGATATACTACCACGCGAGTACGTCCCATCTTAGGGTGTCTTCTTTTAATATTGTTCGTTCTGATGGTTTTTCAGTTATATTATTCATTCTTCAAAATATTCTGAACCATTTTTGTCATAAGGGTTTTAAAAACTTTCAACAACTAGGACAACGATATTCTCAACATTTCTACGAAATTGATTCTTTCTGATCATGTTCAGTCCTAGAACTATATCTTTCAAATTGAACTGTCAGTATACTACGATTTATTTCGGATATTTCAACTTTATCCATGATTCTTCACTTAGAAAACGGAGAAAAAAATTTAGAAGATTCTTCCATCACAGACCATATATATGTGCAAAAAAGGAGGATCAATACTCCATTTACATCTTGCCAAAACCGTTGTTTATTTGTCACGCTGAATCTAAACAAGTATGAGTCACCTTAATCTACGTGCATGTCTGTAAACGAAGAACTTATCTTTTAATATGTATTTAATAAAACTCACATAGCAATCATCACCTTTTTTCACATCGTCGGATCTTCTGTTTTCTGAGTCAATGAATTTCCTAAATTTTTCTCCTCGTTTTCTATGTGAAGAATCATGGATAAAGTGAAAATATCCAAAACTAGTCGTGGTAAACTGGTAGCTCAATTTAAAGGATATAGTTCTACGACTGAGCATGATCAGAAAGAATCAATTTTGTAGAAATGTTGAGAATATCGTTGTCCTAGTTGTTGAAAGTTTTTAAAACCATTATGACAAAAATGGTTCAAAATTTTCAAAATATTTTCAAAAATGAATGGTGTAACTGGAATGCCAACAGAACGAGCAGCACTAAAAGAAGACGCCCTAGAGGTGGGTAAATCCGACAAAGAACCGAAGATAAGTCCGAGAGTTACTCTACTTTGCAGCAATAATTTTAACTTCAATGACTACTGATAATAGGGGAGGGGGGCATCTGATGCCTTAAGATGGGACGTACTCATATGACACTCTTTCACAACTGTCGCATCGACAACATACCTTAACATCACGATAGATGACTTTTCGTGAATGTAAATAACCAATTGCACATGCAATTTCAGCTATATAAAATCGTGTACGCTCTTCTGAAAAACGTTTTTCTTTTGATAAATGGAAAAATAATTCTCCACCATTGACACATTCCATAACCAAACACAAACGATCACTGGTGGTAAATGCACAAATTAAATTCTAAAATAAAACATACAATAATAATGTCTAATTTCTAGTAATTATAAATTAAAAGTAACTATACTGTTATAAATGGATGTCTAATATTACGTAAAATTTTGTTTTCTGCTAACGTATGAACAACTTCATTCTAAAAAAAAACAAGAAACAACAACACTCGAATTTTAATTCGTAAGTTTCATTACTCTATTTTCTTACATTTGTAATAACTAAACTTTTTCTTAACATTTTCATAGCAAATATTCGCTGTGTTGTTCGTTCACGACACAGAACAACTTTACCAAACGTACCACGTCCGAGTATTTTTAAATATTCAAAATCATTTATTTGCTAAATAACAAAATGCCAAAATTGTTCAGTTATGGTGACAAAATGTTATATTACCGGTCGTCGAGCAAAAACATTTTCATAACTTATTTTTTGTGCATCATCATCCATTTTATCATCATTTATCATACTACGATGTTGTTGAATCAATGAAAATTGACGTGACGGTTCTGAAGAAGACGTTAAATAAAAATATGTTAGATTTAATAAAAGTTAATTTTTTTGTTTTGAGTTATGATCTAACACTTCATTCCAGTTTTGTTTTGGTGAGACATTTCATCTAATATGAGTTACCTTGACGCAACGATGGTGATGAATATTGACGATTAATTATTTGTATTGCATTTATCCATTCTTCACTAAAATTTAAATACAACGAGTTTCGAGGAAAATACGTTATTCATTATCGTACCGTTCTTGCTGAGTATTAGCAGCAAATAATCGTTCAATTTTCATTTGATTAAGTTGTAAAACAAATGCATTTGGTTTTGCTTTATCATGACGAACGATGTTACAATCTAAAAATATAAAAAATATACTCACAATTACAATAAACGTCGAATTATCCCTACCAGTGATATGAAAACGATTTAATGGCTCTTCATTTTGTTGTTTTGTATTCTGTTGACTGTTATTTACAGTTGTATCTGCACGATCGTTTGTACTTGATAAAGGTTTACGATAACCGTAAAAACAACCATCATGACGTAATACGAAATAACGTGGTCGCCATGTTTTGATATGTTCACCTAAAATAAAACATTTAAAACAAAATGATATTAATAATATGATATTACTAATACCTCTTTTCCAAAGCCATCCACATTTGAAAACAGGTGCTTCTTGCGATTGACTACTTGTGTTTGAAATTTTTGGACTTAGCGGTGGTTGTTGTTGCTGCATTTTCAAACAATCCAATCAACAAAATCATCTAAAAACAGTAACAAAAAATGAAGACATAATTTCATAAAATCTAAAATCTATAGGATTTAGAAGTGTCTAACCGTTCTTGTTTTCTAGAACTCTTTTTTCTCCCGTTTTTAACAATCCAGTTTTCGATACTTTTTAATAGAAAGCAGAAAGCTGAACTTTTGAAAGTGACGTGACATGATGAGATGTTATGCTTAAACGCTTTACTAAAATATTTTAACACTTCGTTCTTTCTAAAACTTAGAATTCAGACTTTTGTCAGGTTTTTGTACAAAATACTCCAATTTTCCTCTAAAAATGATTTAGTACTTATAACTATTGTGAAGAGATTTTCAAGCCTAGTTTTACAAGGCTGGAATCCATCTTTGGTACAAAGCATTTTTAAAAGAAGAAATATCGCGATATTTAGACAATTTTTTTTAGATTATGTGCATTAAAATTATCAATTCTTAGAAATTACAAAATGGAACATTCTATCATAGAATATTGCAAGGAATAGTCTCAAATTAGAACTGATATCAGATTGACCCCATCCGGATAAACAAGAGAAATATTCATTGAAGATAAAAACTATTATTTATCTTTTCTTTTATTTCTGTTAAAAATATGTCAACTTACTCGATAATAACTACGGAAAAAAAGCACAAATGATGATTGTACGTCTTAGAGTATCCTACTAGTTGCTGATTAAATCGTTAAAAGGTAAATGCAATCAAGCGATTAATATTTTAGCCTTTAAACGTCTTTCTCTACGCCGTGACATCAATTATAACTCTTCATTTTGATGACAAACAGAATCACATATGAAAATTATCTTTCAACAAAAACAGCAAAAATTCAATGAGTACTGGATAGAAGTCAATTTTTCTATTGACCCTTCACCTGAAGGATTAGAGCTTTTGTTATGGATACTCGCATCAAAATTTTTCACAAAGCTTCGATGTTTACAGAAGAAACAGTACAAGTAGTATGCTCATGTTGTCGAAACCGACGGTTAACCGCGATTATTTCAGCTGAAACCATAGCAACACAGCAGACAAACCGACGGTTAGCCTCACAGTTAACCAGAAAAACGGTCGGATCCTAAAATAACCGTGGTTTCAAGAACATGGGATAAACTTTTTTTATTCATGTATATGAATCATATGGTTTGTTCACAGCATGATATTGTCTTTTTCACTACTACTTGCTTTTGTAATATTGCTGGTTGTATAAATATTTTTTGTATTTTTAAATGGTGTCCGCATTAGACATCTGTGGTTATGCCTATTACTCATGCCCATGGATATGAACAAGAAACTTTACTTGATAGTCATGGGTTTTAAAATTTTTTCGTAATGTCAGTAATGAGATCAGGACATCATACGAGAACTACAGATAAATAGGAATGACCTCTAGTTTTTCTTTCTAACGTATCTTCACCACAATATTAACGCAATGAAACTACTGTCGATTTTATAAATAGTCAGTGAGAATGAAATATCATAAGTGTCACATACACTGTCGGTGTTCGCCTCAGTGTCTGTGATTAAATCGTTTGTATCGACAGCAGAAATGCCACGTTCAGACGTTTGATCGTTGATGTTTTTTGTGTATGCCAAACATCTAAATTTATAATCAATGTATGATAGGGTTGAAAGTTTATTACTTTGTTCTTTGGTTTATGTAATTGTTATTATATCTTATAGATCAGAGAACTTCGCCGACACTCACTTTTCATGATTAAATTATTATTCTAGATCGAAAACCAAGGGGGGAAAAGCATTTTTTTAGTAATATCAACTTTTCAGCGCCCCAAAACTGCCGATTTACAGAGATGGACGAGTACGAGTATACTCGAGTATAAAATTTTCAGTACTCGTACTCGAAACTTTCTTTTACGAGCACTTAGAAACGTACTCGAGTATTTTCGAGTACTTGAAATTTTTCTATTATTATACTTTACAAAGAATTTTTGCCTTACAAAATGAATAAATGTGATTATTGTAGTCACAGAAAAACTACTTTAGGCTCTTTTTCTCTCTTACTCAGTTATATGCTAGGTTTTTGTGTGTTCTGAAGTCTCTTTCCCTTTATTTCTATCTATCTTTCTCTTGGTCACTAGAAGAGACCATCAGATAAGAAGAAGCATGTGAACTGTAAAAGAAGATAGGAAGGAAACAGAGACAGCTTATCTTTTTCTCTCGAAGAAAATAACTCGGAAAAGAAAAAAGTGAACTGTCAACGTTATGCATGTTAACATTTTTAAAATGTAATAATGATCTTCTAGGATAATGTTTCGTTATTGTGGGTTCAGATAAAGTAAAATAAATGAATAATAAAGAGTAAAATAAAAAAAACTAAGACTAGAACCTAAATCTTCTTCAACTGATAACCAGAAAGATATTGAAAAGACTATTGTTAGGCAGCTAAAACTTTCTTCAGGAGTATTTTCTTCTGTTAGAAAATACTCCTACTCGTACTCCTACTCGAGAATCTGCGTACTCGCCTATCTCTGCCAATTTAGTCTATCAGTAACGTTCTCGCTTCGGAAAATTCAGGAACTTTATTTTTATTATTTTACTTCCAATTGAATCAAAAATAAAGTATTATTGTCTTTTTCGCAGTATGATGCAAATGCAGCCAAACTTCCTTCCCCAAGTTTATTCGTAGCGCAAAAGGATTCGTGCAATGTGTAATTCGGTCCCACTACCTTATGTTTAGCAAGGCAGCACCTTATGGCACCTTTAAACAACCAAATCGGCACCAGGTGCTGCGCTTTCTCCCTTGTTAAAAATGCTATAATCAACGAAAGCTCACATTGATACTAGCGATTACTATAATCTGCTCGTATCCCTAGAGAACGTACTTGATTACTTACTAAGTACTTGTCAATGATCGAAATATTTGCCTTATTTCTAAGAAGTACTTTCTGAAAGTACTGGCAAGTAAGGACAAGTACTTACAAATAAGTTTACTTCTGGAAAAAAGGCAAGTACCGGCTTCATTACGCAGAAGAAGCACTTGGCCCCAAGCACGTTCTCTAGGGATAGATCCACACACACTTCTTGGAAATTATGTCGATTCGTCAAAACATCAGTTATAGAGAAGCCACAAGTAAAGGAGGAGTGGCAGGGCCGTATCCAGGCGATGGGCACGTGCCCTGTGTGCACACAGGACCCCGCCCACTCCGTGGGATTCCACTACAGTGTACATCTCACAATAATATTCGAAGACTGAAATTTTAGATAGAAATTGAGACCAGTAAAGATGGAATTTTTTCTAGATGCGCGTCCCATACAAAAATTTTGGTTACTGCCCTGAGGAGTGGTAGTTTTGGAAGAGTTGAAGAATCCGTTTTCTGCTAAATATTAAATATTCTTATAGTTTTCTGAAATAAGATTTGCCTTATCGTCAGAAAAAAACCGTAATCAATTTCATTCATTTTCTAATGCGAAAACACTTGCCTCATTCACTTGACAATTATTTAAGTGAAACTATAAGGTTTCTGTCAGTTCACCTTAACTTTTTCTCAAGCTTCTACCTTTAATTTAATTCTAGATAAAGGTACATTTATGAAATAAGCTAAGATACGTTCTGTAGAATTATAGAAATTATTTATGAACTAAACGTTCGGTTGGCGACACTAATTAAATTTCTAGGATCGTTAATGTATATAAAATTAACGTTATTGGTTCCTTTTGGCATCAAATAACAGCTTCAGAACATGGCCGACTCCAAAAAGAAACAAGAAATATTATATGGAACGAATAATCTCTACGTGATTGGATGAAACGTTGATGTATCAGAGTATTTGGATTGATGTCGCTTAGAACCAGGATGAAGATAAGTGATTGATGAACTGATTAATTAATTTAAGTTATAATAAAATGTTGGGTAGGTCTATTGACAGTTCCAAGACTGGCAGCAAGGGGCTATTGACAGTCCAGAATACACTTATACACTGCAAAAATGTGATATGTAACCCTAGGAGGCAGTGCATGATAGGGACGAACAAAGTTGCTCAATGAACCGTCACAGATTTTTCTCAGATTATCAGACCAGATAGAGAAATGTGTCCTGAACATTTTTGTCTCTTGGCATTTTTTTCCAAAATGCTTTCCCTTGCCGCTAGAGCGCCTGCAAAAAAGGTCGTAAAATACAGAAAAAAAGCGCTTTTCCAGTCGAAAATTTTGCTTATGCTATAACTCCGTCAAATCAAATGCTAATGAGCTTAAATTTCTACCAGAGCTGTCTTGCTATGAGTACTACCGCAGATAAAAGTTTGAACTTGTTTGAGTTAAGCGTTCTCCATTAAATTTTGATTTTTCAGAGATGTTTTTCCGAAGCCCTCGATATTTTCCCTTTGCAAACTCTTCGGAAAACAAAAAGGCATGGACTAGAAAGAGAATTTTATGCGCATTTCGAATATGAACTTTGTTTTGAAATACACTCTTTTCTTCACTCTGTGGATGCAATTCTTTTTTACCTAGCTTTAGAATTATATAATTTTAAAAGTTGGTCGAAAACGATTTGGCTGCCGCCGGCGGAGAAAAGAGTATATTTCAAAACAAAGTTCATATTCGAAATGCGAATAAAATTCTCTTTCTAGTCCATGCCTTTTTGTTTTCCGAAGAGTTTGCAAAGGGAA